ATGCTCTGAAACTGAGATTCAACGTATCCAAAAAATCCTGCGCCGCCTATGATATCTACATCCAAAAATAAAATCCTTTCATCATAAAAGAAATTTAATTGTTAATTTTGAAGTTCAAAATCTTTATTTTGTTGCAGGAAGTCGACGAATACCATCTTTGATTCTCTTTAGATTTTCATGATCAAGAGGACGAAATTTCACATTAAGTTTCGAAGCACGCTCAAAATAGTCAAGTGCCATCTTTTGGTTCTTCTGTTTTTCATGAGAAACGCCAATATTATTCAAAGTGTCAGTAAGACTGACATGATCTGATGGATAAAGTTTTTCATAAATTGTTGACGCTTGTTGATAATATTCGAGAGCTTCATTATGTTTTTCTTGATGAGTGAGAATTTTACCGATATTGTTTAGACTTGTCGCAATATCAACTTGATTGGATGGATAATATTTCTCTTGAATTTTCAATGCCTTTTGATGACATTCGAGAGCTTCATCATCTTTTTCATGTCGATAAAGAACATTACCCATACTATTAAGAACATGAGCACCATCTTTTAATCGTTTTGATCCATCTTCCATCATTCGATTATATGCACGATTATAATATTTTTCAGCTTCGTTCCATTAACCTTTGAAATCAAGAGCTCGACCAATATTAAATTCAATCCAAGGACGATCTTCATTATTTGTTTTATCTAATAATTGTTGAAAATATTTTTGTGATTCATCATATTCTCCTAAATCACATAATAATCTACCAACAATAATTGAATCACTTGTTCCTTCAATTTCTTTTCTTGTTGATTCAAGAAAATCTTTAGCAATTTTTGGCCCTTCATTTGAAAGTTTCATATTAATTATTTGAAATGATTTATCTTCTTCAAATGATTTAATTTCAAAACAAACATTTATATCAAATAAAACTTCGACTTCTGTTGGATTATTACTTAATTCAGTAATATCAGCAAAAATAATATTTTTATCAATTTTTTCAATATTAATTTCAATATGAAATAGAACACGAACGATATCATTTCTTTTTGAAGATTTATTTGCATATTTACGTGCTTGTAATTCGTCTCGACTAGTTGATAAATATCCATTTGTTGAAATAAGTTTTCCTTGACTTTGTTTTAATCTATTAAATTCTTTTATATCAAGTGCAACACCTCGATAAAGATGTAAAATTTTTTCTTTTGACAAAAAAATTTTTTCATGTTGACGTTGAAGATTTTCTGATAAATCACAAATAAAAACTCGAAATGTATGTATTAATTCAATACTTTCAGTTCGTAATACTTTATTAACTATTTTATATAAAAATGTTTTTTTTGAATACCAATAAATTGCATATTCTGATCGATATGTTTGTTCAAATTCTTCAATATTTTTCATTTCTTTTCGATTTCGACAATAATAATCTTTACATAATTGAATCATTTGTTCTTTTGCTTGTTGATTTCTTGGTAGACGAGCTATAATATAATTAAATATTTGATACCAGAGAAATGTTGATGATTCTTTTGATAAATCTTTTGTAGATTGTTCACCTTTCTCAAACGAAGAAAATGTTTCTATGCGTTTATTAAAAAAATCAAATTCGTCTTCAATTGTTTTACATAAATCATCGAACTCGGTATAAATTCCAACAATTTTATTGTATTTAGTTAATAAATATTCATGTCGATCTTTCAACATACAAAAGATAAAGATCGAATCAACTTGACTCAAATCTAATACTTGAGATAAAATTTCTGGTGCTTGTATTCCGGATGTTATTAAAAATATTGTTTCATTTTTAATTGATTTAATAAATTTAACACACTCGTCAAGATCCGAGAATATATTGACATGTTCATTAATAACTCGAAGTTCTTCTTTTTTTGTTTTCATATCTTCCTTTGATTTAATGTTTGGATCAAACCAAATTAGTTTTAAGTTGTGTTGACTTTGTCTAAGTCTTTCTATCAATGAATTATTAAATTCATAATTATTTCTTCGTCTATGAATCGATTCTACAGCTTCTGCCATAATAACTAAAACAAGAATTATGATCAAAATCGATGAAGATCGAAATGCAAAGATTTTTTTTCGTCAACACTCCATTCAATAGTTGTTTGTTTTTTTCTCCATTACCAGTAAAAGGCACTTGAAAGAAACTCTTCTGTGGTGTCTTATTTAATTTTTTAACAGAACTCATCGAATTAATCCTAAAGATGTCGTTTATGGCATGTTTATACAACGTTTTTTGCATGCAATCTTAGAAAAAAGTGGTTTAACAAGAATCAAAGTCTATAAAAATTAGAATACATTATGATGTATCACATCTCGCAACAGATTAGATTCTATCTAAATTTATCTTTTGCATTTCATCGTTCTGCAGTCAAGAAGAAGTCTATTTAGGTGTGGATGTGGGTGGCTGGGGGTGTGATTATATTCGGCTACCACACTCACACTCATACCCTGATTTTCTTTAAGAATTGTATTTTTCAAAATCATCTCTATATCGCTGAAGTGATGATGATATAATTTGATTACCTTTAGAGTAAGTCGGGATAAATGTAGACAAAAAGTTAATGAACTCCAGAGGTGCCACCTCTTCTACTTTTGTGATACGGCATTATTTATTATGTCAATCAACATTTTTCACCTGAAATACCTTCGTTTCCATAATTATTAAGAAAACCATATCAAAAACTACTGATATGTATGTGCTACTCTAATTCTTTTTATTTGATATAGATGATTTTTATTTTCTACTGACTACAAACAACTACCAATCTATATATTTGGCTTTAAATCAATTCCTTACTTATGGTTTTCTATCGTATTTTAATTACTCATATAATTCATATACATCAACATATACATTCTTTCGTTTATTTACTCAATAGCGAAGAAGATATTGACAAAGCAGTAGTAGTTGCTGAAGTAATAATTATGTCATCAGGAGTTAAATCAGAAAACAGAAATTGAATAGAGTTATCTTCAACAGAGAATGGTTCAAAGTCGTCGACTATTAACGATCTTTAAAAGAATATAAATTTAATCCGTCTCAACTAACATTTATCGTTTGTCATCAAAAGTTTTCCGAATATTGCTAATAAAAAGCTAATATTGACAATTATATGAATAATAAGAAACAAAAAAAATTTAAATGCTATATGATTTAATCAACAATTATTTCGAATTTCTCCTTATCATATATTGTAATGAATAAATATTTATTAGGAAAAAAAGGATTTGTCACAAGCTCTTAAATCAGATGAAGAATACTCTTTAAAAAGAAAATGTGTTCAATGATTCTGTCTATTTGTTAATTACTTGTGTTTTGTGATGTCATACAATACGAGTGATTAGTATATTGAATTTAAAATTTAAAACTAACGAGTAGCTCGTAATAAAAGAGGGTCTGAG